GTAGAGCATGGGAAGCTGAAAAGTCCTTGGCTAGTGTAAGCATTACCTAGCAACAACTAAAACATGGGGGCGTTATCAACTTTGTTCTCATCCTAAATCCAAAACACTGTACCAGCTACTAGGAAGGAAATTAACTCTATCCCTGCCGAAACCAGGACAACATGCCTCGTTGTGTGAGCTTGCAGGCTTTTGAAACCATCTGCACTTCACAGCTAAGCATTGTTCAATGGTTAATCTTTTCTTTATCACATCTCATCGTATATTCTTCTAGCTTTATTACCTAAGTATTGTATTATGTATGTTTTAACTGTGTTATCTCATTCCTCATCACCTTAGATAAATGAAAACTGACTGTATTTAATGTTAACGTAGTCAGCAATCCTAATAAAACAAATTTGAAATTTCATGTCATAAAACTGTTTAATTTACAGGATTAGAATTAAGTGTCTGCTCATCTATTATTTTCAATTATTTTAGAAGAAAATGTAAAAGATGGCTGAAAGAGACTAAAACCATCGAGAATGAGAACTTAAGACAGCAACTCAGAAGAAAAAAGAACAAAAAAGTTTCTTGGCACAGCTAACGAAAGAGGCAAATAAGAACCTACTGCTGTATACTTAAATTTCCTCCATTCTTTGTGATCTCTGGAATTTTGCACTTTTTAACATGACATTTCTGAATATCTCCATTTTCCAAATTGTCATATGGGACTTTTTCCACAGCTTTACTCTACTAGGCAAAGTAGTTCCAACTACTTATATATAGCTATTTTTACATATATGTTATTTATACATTATTTTAAAATTTATTTTATTTTTAGTTACTTACTTTTGCTCCTAAAAATACACACACATGATCAGCAGTCGTCTAGGAAATGCAGAAGTTCTTCTGGGTTTTTTTGTCTCGTGACTACTGATAAGTTTAGATTCTTACTGCATCTGAAAAACATTACCTGCCTTCCACTTGAAGGCATTCACACTGGTGTCAAGATGTGTCAAGATCTGTTGCTGTGCCACCTCCAGTGAAAGGCTGTCAAGGTGAAAATGCTACGTGTCATCCTAGCTTCCCACGCTACATCCAATTTTAATTTACTCTTAAATTGCCACAATATCTTGTGAGTACTGTATTCCATCAAGTACATGTTTATAACCCATGTTTCATTCAAAAATAAAAAAATAAAGGAATACAGCAAAATAAAGAAATACTGCACTTTTCAGATTGTGGTATTTGTAACTGTTTTCGTCAGAAAGGAAAAGTGAAAATGAGTCATTTCCAATAGAAACAGACTATGAATTGCACATGCTCTCGGAGGAAATTTTGCCAGGAATGGAAGACTGGCATCCACCGGTTCCTGTGTCACAGCTGTAGGACTGCCTTTCCCCATTTCAGTTGAGATACTTTTCCCTTTACCAGTCAGATACTTCTTTAAATAACCTACATCGTGTAATCCTCAAACAAACAAAACTTCCCTTGTTCATGTTTTAGAGGAAACAAAGTTGTTAGCATATTATTGCATAAGCATATTACTTCTTCCATTTGGTTTCAGTCTTTCATAAATACACAAGCTCTCAAGACAGCTAAATGTAGAATAAAAAAAATTATTGGAATGTGAAGACATTCTCGTTTCAGTAATTTCTACATCCATTTATTTATAGCTTTATGAGATATTTTCAGGTAGCTACAGAGATACTTCACTCTATTGACTCTGCACAAAACTATCCGTTTAAAAACCTGCAAAGATCAAACAATTCCTACGTTGGTTATGTTAGCTGCAGAAAAACCACCACCCCTGAAGCTGATTTCCTGCTTGAGAAACCATAAGCTAATTGCAGAACAAAAGGTACGTTTTGAGAGGTCCTCCACTTTCAGCAGTTACTGTGTATCAGATGCAGAGCAGCTTGTGAATGTTTGGCATGTTCTGTGAAGAAGATATTCTGGTTGATGTACGCTGTTAATACTGCTGGATGTGATGATATGGCATGAAGCAAAGCAAGCTGCATCCTTTAGTGTCAAAATTTTCAGTTTCAGCTGCTCCAAAGACCATGTGTTTGGGTAAAGAGTAGGCAGCTGGTTTTTTTTCAGTCAACTGTCGTCTTTACCAAGTCACTTTCCACCTGCTGTTTTTTTGAAAAATTAAATTCCTTCCCACTCTCTTCAAGTCAGTTACCAAGATTCAAACCCATGGTGCCAGGATAATGTCCGTTACATGACTGACAATGAAAAGAACAACGTGAAGAGAGCAACAGGTAACTTGTGGTACTTAGCAGATTGGTTTTGTGGTTTGGGTTTTTTTTTTTTAAATTAAAATATATTAATTGATATTTATTATTATGTATTGTCTGGTGATGATGACTCCTAGTTTTCTACTCATTTTTCAAAGCCAAATGTTCAGTGTATTTAACGTCCAATTTAAACTCAAGTTTTTCCATAATTAAAATGATTATGACTAATTAATGAAAATAGCTTAGACTTTAACACCTTAAAAAATACATTTTCAGAAAACAGCTTTATTATCTTAGGTATTCAGCTTCTAAAAGTATTTAGGCAATACTGTGTTCAGTGCTGCTAGGCCTGTGTGGTGTTGATGAGAGTTTCATTTCTGAAATACGATAGGATGCCCTTAAACCCAGACCTTCTAACTGTCCACGTTAAAGGTCTCTTAATCTAATCCCCAGGAATTTTGCTTCGTGCCAGGGCCTGAAGTCAGTCGTGTGGCTCTGCCAAGCTGCCCTGTCTCCTCCCCACTATGTGTTTGAAACCTGTCTGTGTGTGAAGGGCTTGAGCACAGGAAGCCAAGTAGAGATAACTCCACGGCTTGCTGGTCCTGGCTTCCCATCCATCCGCACTTCACTTGCTGCACCTCTGAAACATAGTCCCATGATGGAGGGACATGACTGCTTCATGGGGCATTACATGGCCAGCCGAGGGACAGGGTACAAAGACAAGGTGCACACAGGAGAGGAGAAGAAAAGGGGTTACAGGGCTCCAGGTGCTGAAAATGATCTCACAGACGGTTAGCACAGTCAGAGTGTTACAGTTTAGCTTCTACTACTAAGACCTGGGCCCCTAAGTTAAATGGATTTCATAAAGCTGGCTGGAATAGTACTTAATAATTAAAAGGAAGGCTGTAGGGGTTTAGGAGCTGTTTGAATTTAAATGCCATTTTGACTGATTATCTCAAAATATCTAGGACCTGGTGTACAGCAATAGTCAGCACTAAGAATAACTGGTGTAGTCACTAATGGGCACCCCCAGAGACCTGGATTTGCCAATCAAGTGCAGAGAAAACTGAAATATCCAGAGTGACTGGCACTTTTGAAAACAAAGACCAGATGTAGATTTAAGGTTTTAAATGCTCTGATTTCATCAATTTCAAGATTTTTGAAACTTGTGGGTGTGGATATAAAAACGCTTCTCATCCATTATTATCAGCACTCTCTCGTTTTTCCTGGTTCTTATTGATTATGAGCCTAATTAACTTGTAAATCAACAGCAACTCCATTAAAGTCCTTCTGGCTTTGTAGTGTTCTAAGCAGTCTAAGACAAAATAAAATACTGTCTAAATGTCTTTCTTTAAATTTATAATTTTATACATACACATATACAAGCATTTCAATTTAAGCTAAACAACTCATAAAATCTTTATGAAATAACTGTAGACTCTAATATTGTACAACCACGATTGTACAATATAGAATCTATAGATATAGAAGTTATAACACAACTTCTGATACCTATATAAGTTTTGCTATGGAACTAATACGGTTGTTCACATGCATCAACGTCAGACACTTGCTATCAGTTGGTTTATATTAACCAGGTAGGAGCAGAACTTCGGTATAGTCCTTATTGGCCTAGAAAAATATAACTCTTAGATGAAGCTCTCTGTCAAGTCATGTAAAATCTGCACTTTGTACAGTAAGCAGAGATAAATTAGGATCTTCATTCAGTTCTATTGCAAATGTTTTCTCATCGTGGAGGTTTCACTATGACAAATAAATGCCTTATATACTTTTTGTATAGCAGCTTTCCTTCTCAAAGTTCAAAATATCACACAAATGACATGTGCCACTCTTGTGAAAATCCATCAATCTACAAAACTAAGGGTTGGCAGCAAAACTGGTGTAAATATTTTGTTGGGGTTTTTTTAGACAGATTAGAAAAGCCTGGCTTCCCTTCTTATCGTTTGAATCTAGCTACCATTGGCAATTATTTGTACCTTGCTGACAGGACAATCCAAAGAGCTCCTAGGATGATGAAAGGAATAAAAAGGATGTATTTCAAGGGGAGACTAAAAGAATTGGCTTGTGTGGAACAAAAGAACAAATTCAGTTGTCTAGAAAGGCATTAGTTAGAGAAACCCTTCAGAGGTAAAGTAAGATATTATTTAGATTAAGGCTAATGATAGTCAAGACACAAGTAGAGATATGTGGTATGAACACATTTAGATTGTAAATTAGAAGAAAATTTCCAACCATCAGGAAACTAAGGTTCCAAAATAGCCTTACAATAGGAGTAATGGAGTAAATAACCTCATTGGCTTTAGGATGGCACCTTATTACTTTACAAAAGAGATTTAATGGTTGTCTATAAAAGGAACTAGACTGAGTGACTCAAAAAGTTATTTCTAATCCTATGTTTCCAAATTCCATTTCTTTGTTTGGGTGGCGGTGGGGGCAGAGAAGGGTTATGTAGACAGGCGAATCATTAATGTCATGTCAGATTTTAAAAGGAGAAAAAGGTAATGTGTTTATATTCTCAGCCATCTAAACATAAATATGGAGGAGGGCAGTAAGAGAATATACAAGACTAGGTTCAATTGCAAATAAATACAGTAGAGTAAAAATGATGCAGTGGCTTTTATCATTTCATGCCTGTGAAGTGCATACCTATACTTTATTGGTCTTGTAGAAAGAAATTTTAATAGTATTGTCCAATTTATATGCAGCTGCATTAAGTTTCTATACAGGTGAGCAGGCTTCCTAAATTATATGTATTAATGGGGAAAGATGGGAATCTTCTGTAAGGCGATTCAGACCACCTAAAATGGGGCAGCAATCTGACTTCTGACACAGATGGTCTGAATAGCCCCATAGAAGTGCCTTCCTTCTGTCATTGACTGTAGAGCACTAATTTAGTCTTCCAAATTGGGGGCCTAAAATTCAGAGTGGAGATAATTCTGCTTCATTTTCCTAAATAAAATCTGTACAGACATGAATAAGGAAAGCCCTTGCCCTTATAAGGGATATAAGGGATATAAGGGATAAGATCCCTGAGGATCTTATGATGAGAAGGCAGAGCATTTAAAACATTTTGCTACTTTATGGGAAGTTAGCCATTTCCAGCATGGCTCCAGTTACTCTTTATCAAATCAGTTAAACCTGTACAGTATTATAATAAACAATATATTTTTGTGCAAGTATCTTTGTAGCAACTTCACTACATGCATACTTGTGATGGAGTGAAGATGTAGTTTTATATATTTTTGAGGTTGAGATGTAGTTTTATATACTCGCACAATTACCAATTTTGTATGTAGTCAAGTAATGCAAATAAAGCAACTAATGCATGTTATTGTTACAGGACCAGAGCTCTAGTTTACTAGTATTCTTTCCTCCTTCTTTAATTAAAAAAGATTTTTAAGCCCCGTTTCCTAAGAAATAGCATCCTATTAAAAACAGCTTACAACTTAAATAGCTGCTTGTCTTTATTTTCAGTTAACTACCCCTGAAAGAGTAAGATGAAAAAGGTTTTCTTTGTTTTGCTATGTATTACTTGCTGAAAAATCAGGTATATCAAGTCCTATCAGATATACTTTAGTCAAGTGGGTCCTACCAATTATGTTGTACTTTATACAACAACAGAGGAGAAACAAACATTAAAATTACATGAGGTAAAACCACTGAGATAACAGTAAAAGACAGCTAAGTCATCTAATATTATTTCTAATTTGTTTTTCAAATTATCTAGATACTAACTCAATTGATTTCCTTAAATGTAGGTGTTTATGCTGAACTTGCTTATGTGCCTCTTCAGTAGTATTTCATGCCAAAGTTTACTTGCTAGATACTATAAAATACCAAATAACTGAAAAGAAAACAAATTTCACTCTTATCATAAGGAATGTCATTCACACCTGTGTCTAGTTGTGTCGTCTGACGCACGGGTGTTGTTTCTATGCACAGAAATGTATTTTTCTTCTTCTTTCTTTTTCCCTAAAGGGAAACGAGCCCCTAGGTCCAGAGCTCAGGAGGGAATGGAATTTCCACCCTGCAGCATTTCTCTGAAACCACTCTCGGGTTGTGAATCTCTCCTTCTCTGCTGGTAATGGAATCCCACACACAGCCAGTCTATACTAATGATTTTAGTTGCCTCCAGCACCACTTATGACTAAGTGCAAAACCCTCTCTTCTACCTCACTCCCCCCCCCCTGCGGAACCACAAGTCTAACAAGATAACCAAGCCTTTTTCTTCTCAGGACTTCTTCACAGTGGAGCTAATTATACACAAAGACATGAACACTTCCTTTGAGAGGTAGCAATAAAGACATCATGTTTGTCTGTGTGCGCAGGAGCTAAAACTGCTGCACAAGTACATGTATCCAAGCTAGCTGTGAGTTCCTCCCAGTATTTTTACAGTCTGAGGGCTGGAAGGGCAGAAGATTATAAACTTTTAAAAATCTGTATACATAGTGTATTACTTTATAATGTTACATATTGCACAATGCCACCCAGTGTTGTCAGAGTATAAGAGCTTACTCTCAGAAATGTGTTCATTTCAGGTCACATCTGAGAAATTCACAGTATGAGAGTTCTTGTTCTGCAGACTCTTAACCAAGAAGAAAGCTTACCTGTTTTTTGAGTTGAAAGTTAATCATTCTGTGTCAACACAGTGCAACCCCAGTTCTAGCCAAAAGATCATTCTGCTGTGGGTGTGTTGCTTTTCACGTGCAAGAGCTTGGACAGTTTTTAAGCATTTCTTCACCCCTCATGCATTGCACCAAGGATAAAGGGTGGGTTGCTTCTACGGAGCTTCAGTTTTGGCATTATTGTACTTTCCTAACTCATGTAACTATAGTTGGACTTTTTAGTTAGCTAGGCTAGTAAAGGTATTTTTTTTTCTGATTTTTTTCCAATTGATTTTCCTTGTCATTTCCCAAAAAGTATTCCTTAGATGTTCAGGCTGTTTGGTTTCATCTATTACTTTGTGTGTGAGAGAACCATGCAGTGAATGATGGGCATTCTGATTGCCTTGACTGTCTGACAGACTCCTACATCATTGGAAATGCTCTACAGATCCTTTACTTGGCATGTTCTTAAGGGACGCAAAGCTGCACATACGATTCCTGAGAAATCCATAGGACTGGTCTTGGATGTAGCAGCATATTATCTTTCCGGGTATTTCAGCAGGGAACCTAAGAATGTCAGCGCAGGTTTCCTGCACAAATCTTCACTTTCAAAACTGGAGTTAAAAACGGAAGATAACCTCAGCACGTTCTCCCCATTTCTCTTCAGTAATGTCTCATAAAACAGGCACCAGAATCACCCTGATGATACCACATTATTGTGTGACAGAGCGTGCACAGATAGGCTGCAGAGCAAGCTCTCAGTGAAGAAGCATATACATATATTAGATCATAGGGTGACCAGGAAGGTCTTCATACTCTTTTACGTAACACACATTGAGACAGTTAATACAGGCTATGACAACAAACACTGTAGCTGTTTTTGTTTTAAACAAAAAGGCTAAAGCAAATTATTTCACATATCATGAATCAGCCAAGTTCTGAAAACATACACTGGCGTAAGATATATTGCTCCAGGGAGATGTACCATAAACTTAGCATAAGGCAATATAAACAGAAATTTCTCTTGAAATATAAATGAAAAATTGTCATGATTCAGATGGGTGGTTTCCAAGAAAAACCTGTTTTCAGAAAAAAAAACCAAACAACAAAACGCAGCAAGTCTCTCTGGCTCCCGGGTAGTGTTGATCTCATTCCTAACTGATATTGATATATTGGTATTGAAATACCTTTCTCTCTGATTCCTAGCCTTTTCTTCCAAGTCAAACAGGATTTTGCCAGTTTTGTTGGCATGGCCAACGCAGTTGTGGCTTCTGGTTCCCATATTGCTTGTCCAACTTTGTTCCTTGCTTTTTTATCAAGGTGAAGATGAGATGAAGACATGATCTTCCAAAAGGACATGATATTCACTCTATCCAATGACTTGGATGAGTCTTGTGAAGAACAAAGCAGTCTTGCACCTCACCAATCACGTCACCTGGATGAAAAACATGAAAATTTCAAAAAAAAGAATGAGATTCTTTTCTTTGTGCAGGCCAGGTACTGTGCAAAATGTCAGTTCTAATCCATCCAATGAGGTGCATATGCTTTCCAGTATAACATGCATTCAAGTTACTATTGTAAGTAACTTGTTTCTTTCAGTAAAATATGAGTTGTTAGTCCCCTGGCAAATACACTGAGCAGCCTTAAAACAGCAATTCAAGACAAAAATCAGAACTGAGAAAAATAAATTAGGAACTTACTTCTTTACATTTGTATTTCTACACTCTTTGACATTGTGTATTGATTTTTATCTACAGACTCAATTATTCTGAAATATTGATAATGAAAAAAAGATATAAAATTAAAATATGGCAATATCTAGGAATAATTTCAAAAAACAGCCTCAATTTTAAAAACATTTTTTCTAGCAGTTAATTGATAATATATCTACTAACATTTGAGTTATTAATGTCCTGATATACAACCAGACTTACTCTGGATTACACACTTCCCAAGTCCAGTATTTGAATTTATTCCTCAATTACTAATGCAATTAATTGTAGTTATACATTAGCCTGTTTTTAACACATCAAGCTCACAAGGAGATTAAGAACTAGATCAAAACCCAACAAATTATGGTATGCTATATATAAAACATCATATGCCTGATTAGATATTCTTTGTAACTGAATTTTCTGAAGAGCCTACAGGAGTGAAGAGCCTAACGGGCCCTTTACTTCCTTTTGAAATGTGCCCTGCTATTTACCCTTTGCATCATGCTAAGATTATTTCAGTTAAGAGGAACTGGCATGCCAAATTCTCTCTTACTATATTGCAATACTGGATGGCTGGATAAAGTTGTGCTCTTGCTTGCTTACTAGAGAAAGCATTTCTAAAATGAAGGATGTGCATCTCAAAATGAGTCCAGATTTCAAATAACATTACAATTTGAAAGAGTTTGGATCTAGGTTCAGAATGGCACTTAGCATTTTAGGCCATTTTAAAGTTTTCAATACTTAAAAATTTGCCATGTAGTCAGTATGTTCTCAGAGAGGCCATTTTTAGCATAAAATAGAGATACAAGAATATATATTGAAAGATTTAACCAGGTTCAATGGAGAAGAATACTGTTTAGCAATAACTTTAAGAAAAATTTTATCAGTTAATCTCAGTGTTCAATGGTCTGAGTTATTAAATGTAAAATGACCTCGTTAAAGTGATATGACTAAAAGTGGTCATTCTTTTGTCAACCAATGTTTCCATTTAATTAAAACCTTCTTTTATTTACTAAGCCATGTGGAGTTTCTGGTATTTTTATTCAAATGCATTAAAATGGTAGACCTGCTGAACTCTTTTTATCTATATATTTTTTCAGCCTAGAACAACCAGACATTACCTATATGCAATATATGAACAATAACTATTATTTTCCATTAAAAATAATAAACAAATTCAGAGAAGTAATAAATGTTTATCCTTTGGTAAACGTTTTAAAAAATAGTTTTTAACTAAAGAGAAAACACCTCACAGGCAAGTTTTGTACATTTTGAATGTTCTATTGCTTTCAAAATATAGTTAATCAGTTCCATTTAATAGCTGAATATTATTCTTCTCTATATAGGAGTGCCTGATCATTTTGCCATATGCTACTGTCTCCTTTTTAAAAGCTCTTTCTCTAATGGCCTTTGATTTTTCCTTACAGAACTTTTTGTTCTTTTCCTCTCTTTCCATTTTAGTTCCAACACATACTCAGGCTGTAAAGGGAACATCTATTTAAGATCTCTTCAGAGCCTAAGGATATGTATTCTTCTCTGCGTCAGTGCTGAGTGACATAGCTTCTTCTTTAATCAACCATTACAAAGCTCAGAAACACTGCTGATAACATCTGAAACTTTATGTACTTATCTATAGTAATCTCTGAAATCTGCTTCTTCCAAATCATTACTCCTTTGCACTGCTCCTGAAAGGCATATAGTGGAGATTCTCTCTTGAATACATAATTAAATATTGAATGCAAGGCAACTTAGGCACTCACTAAAAGGTTTTTTTTCTGTGACAAATACATACATTACATTTTTCTTGTGAGGGTTAAAGTAGATCAAAATAGGAGGATGTATCATCTAGTCTGTTCTTGTCTTAGTTTTTGACACTCTGTAGGAAAACAATATTCAGGCCTGGGCATTATCTATCTCATGCACTCAGCAAGAGATGCACCTAATTGGTTATGGTGTTCACCCAAGAACAAGATAGAGGTCCACATCCCTGGTCTTTCATCTGAATGCTTGCGTATATATTGGTGTGGAAACCAGAATACAGATGATTACTCTAGACAGCAGGCTACAGTTTAAGGCTGATTTTTAAATTGAATTTTTAAATTGTAAGTGTTACTTATATGCTTAGGTGGTTAAGTTTAAAGTAATCAGTGAATCATGGAGATTACAAGGTACAGAATTGTTTAGGCATAGACTTAGGGTAAGAAGGCTGTAGTCTCCCATTAAGCACACATGGCATACCACTTCAGCAGAAAGGCCATGTAGTTCCTTCCTCCTCCTCTACTGTGATCTTCTTTCCATCTATTCTTTAAAGAGTGTATAATTTATTTGTTTATATAACAAGGGACACATTTGTGGCTTCTTAAAAGACAGCAAATAAATTACTACTCTGAGAGGAGAGGGAGAGCATGGAAGAGAAAGAAGAGAAGTGAAACCAAAGCAATATTTCTAATAGGATAAATTTTGCACTAGGTGAACCAATGCCTGGGAACTTTTTCAATAAGAAATGTGGTTTTGTCTTCTCTACTCAGTGATGCATGCAGCACTGAACTTTAGTCCCTTCTCTCCCTCAATTAATTTGTTCAATGAGTGAAATATAATTCTCAATTGTAGAATTTCTTTAAAAAATGTCTAGTCTTATTTGTCAGGTGTTACATGCCATACAAACAGAAAAGTAGAGTCTATCTGTTAAAGAAATGTAGATTTTCCATGACACTTTTCTTACTGGGTAAGTGTTTACTTCACAGGGAGCTTTGTTTGCACTT